TATGCTAATAAGATAATGTGTATCATAAATATAAAACATGTGCAATCATCAATGTATTGTTAAAATACTCGATTTACGACTTAACAAAATTCACATTCACCATTCTCGCATGCAGTCAGAGTAACATTTGGTAGATCATTTGGTATACTTTGTGTATTCATGTATATTCTGAGCTCAGATTGCATCCTCGTGTGATGAAGTTGTAGGATTTTTTTTTTAATTTTGCATTGATTACCTAGTTACATGATAACCTATATTCTTTGTATTTTCTAAAGCGGACCAGTTCAGACCCTTTCTTCAGTCACAGTTACCGAACGTGACAGATTACATCAATGCTGTAATGATACAGGTAAAGTCTTGTTCCGTAACATAAGCATTGATATATTCAAGCACTTATGCTACACAAAAGAGATACTTAGCGCCCAATGCACATACCTCAATCTTCGAAGGTTAAAATAAGATGTATGCTGTATGTCACTCCTGGATTATAAGAGACGATTGTTGCGGTTTCCCTTTGCATAATTGGGTTGGATTCTTTCTTGTTTTCTATTAAGGGGACATAAAATAAACCAAAATGAGACCTAGTATATCCCACTGCATGTGTAACGTAATAGCGTCTAATGCGGAGCCTAACAGAATCGACGGTTTTCTTCAGAGTCTTCTACTAAGAGGATATGGAAGAGGCAATACATAACTGATGTGTTGCCCCCTTTGCAACATTTGGGATTGTTTTAGTTTACAAACGTTTATGTCTACTTTCTTTCTCTATTTAATTCATTTTCCCCAGCGTTGCCTCCTAAGACACCCGTCCATATGACCCTGGCAGTTGCAAGATGTTTAACCCGTAACTTTTGTCAATTCTCTTGTGCTTCATTATGAACTCAGTCATTCCCTTTCTGCAGTCACACACTTCGATGTCGGGGTATTTGATGACACAGTTTCCTCTTGTGGACACCATCGATGACTTCTGGACAATGGTGTTTGACTACAGCTGTGAAAACATCGTCGTTCTCGGAAAACCAACACAAGTTTGTAATAACTGACACGTTCCTATATAATAATATATATATAACCTTCATCAATAACCAAAAGGATGTATAGTTTAATCTGTTCTGTATTACAAAACCTAACTGGTTTGTATCATTACTTGGGTTTATTTCTGATATGAATACATATGCTGAATAATTAACTAAATAATATGACTTGCTTTCCATTATATATACCATATCATGACGTTTCCTTAAAATGGTTTTGTCACATACATCATAAAATCATGCTATCTAAAATATTTCAAAAACATAGAAAGAGGATTGGCTCCTAGGAGAGGTCGGAGACATTGCTGCAGGAAATGCCATTTCAGTAAAAAAGTTGCAGGACCGATCGCCAAACACCGAGTTGGCGATTGTAGACTACCAAGTTGAAAGGGAGGTAGGTAGTAAATTATGTGAGGATAACCGCTAATATAAATATTTATATTTGAAATACATGTGTGCAGAAACATAAATTCGAACAATTTTAGAGATATTTTGCTCTTTTAAAAGGATTGTACTTAGAGCTTTTCAAATATCAAAAGTTAATATATTAATTATCACGTCGGCGATGAGTTACTTTATGATATTATTTGATTTTTAAGGAAATGTGATTCCACTTCTAAACGCCTAATAGGAACGTTTGTATATAGTATTATAATGATGCGTCTATTATGGCTAGTTCTTGATTTTCTAATTGTGTACCAAGCTCTTTTGTACGAGTGGTATGTTTGGTATCTTCTAATACAGATCTAATTTTGATACATAGCTACAGTAATCGTTATATGGAACACTCTGATATTATATAAGCGAAAAGTGTACATGAAAATATGTGTGAATAATATACAAAAAAAAAATAGAATATCCCACAAACCTATCTAGGAAATACCCCAGCTGCTTTGTTTTGAAAGACAAAACATCAGACAAGAGTATTTTCAATGAATAACTAAAAATGCGATCCGAGTATTGATAAGGATTTCTTTCAATTCAAATGCTAAGTTTTATACTTATATAGTAAATATATCGATTACAATCATGTTGTCTATCGACAATGTGAATTAAGAGGACTGAAATTCATACCATACCTGCTGATATTATCTATGAGACTGACTATTGTCGTATCATTAGACAATATGCCGAATAACAGCTATATCTTAGTGACCGAGCATGTCTCGTTAACTAGTAATATGATACATAATCAGCTATGTTGAAGGCCTCTAGGAGGTCAGACAAACACCCTAACAAATGTAAAGTAATAATTGCCATGCTATTGAGAATTGTAGAAACTGTCAACCAGTAAAAGGATATTTTCACTTTATGATGATAATTCGATTACTTGATATTTGTGTATAAATATATATATTCTGAAGTAAAAGCGAAGAATAAACTGCTTTATCAATAAATCATACATAGGGTAGATAACTCGTTAAAAAATATGTATGTATGTAATTGTATTCAATTTAATCAGACTAGAATTTGTAATCTATTTTACACCTCATTATTTGGTATCATCTAATACACAGCGATTCGGCAGTGAGACTATTCGGATCTTCAGCTTGTCCCAGTGGTCATCGAACTCCTTACTGCCTCCATCTGACTCGTCTCTTTTCCAACTTTTAGAACAGCTAGACAGTCGACGACGGTCAGACAACACAAGACCTGTTGTTGTCATGTGTCGGTTAGTAGGTCGCCGTCCTATACCATAATGGGTTGATGATACCGTCAGTGTTATGACATAACTAAGCAATACAATGTTTATAAAGGTGTTTTTTTATTAGAGCAGCGGTAGTTTGTTGAACTGATAAGCTAAAATCATAGAGTGAATTATTTCAAATATTACATAGAATTAATGACATATATATTTTATTGGAATTTTAATCCAGTATATTTTTCGAAAAAAATGCAACCGGTTTGTCGCATATTTTTTTGCGGAATGCCCTTCCACTCTATCGAAAAGTATTGATCTTCATATTAACTCCGAAGAAAAGTGTCACCAACTTTGTTGCAAGTGGAGTATTATTGTTATCCGTATGTGAAAATATGAGTTGTCTTCTGCATGGACGGATGTACACAAAGTGGACTGTTCTGTTGTATATCCAATATCAGAGATCAAATGAAGATGGACGAGGAGGTGGACATATTCCAAACAGCAAGGCGGTTGAAAAAGCGGCGACCAGAGGCGCTTGAAAATGTTGTAAATTTTGTAATTAATGCAAAAATGTAATCTTTATAACACAGCTAAGATTTGTCTCAACTTTTATATTAATGATTTTTTCATTTACCAGTTAACGTCTGATAACGATTATGATTACGTTAGTATAAATGCTGTGATCATTTCATTCGTTTTTTTAATAGACATACTGACATGATGTTTGTCCATACATTTTCACTGTTCAATTAATGCATGTCTTGTAATATGCCTTTTATTGTATTTTAGAAACAATACCAGTACTGCTACAACATTCTGGGGCTATATCTAGATTCAACTGACGTGTACGTCAACTGAAAAGAACTCAATGCGTGTATAGTGTTACACGCCAAATGTATATAGATTCACATCAACTGAAAATAATCAAATGAGTACATGTATATTGCTACACTTAATATGTTGACTTTGTTTGATTTTCTGCATCTTCTAAGAATGTTTTCAAAAGGTTGCTTCCTCTCCTCATGGTTTGAGTGATAATTATAAATAGCATATTGTGATTACATTCGCAGAGGGATATTTTGTTGTATACATGTACCATAAACGACTTAAAACCTGTTCAGCTTATGGAGCCGAACTAAGGTGATGAACATGTCTCCACGTACACGCATATTAATTGAATACAACTCAACATTGATTGTGGCATGACAGTGGAATAACATATGTTTTCATCTCAACCGATTTGCGTATCAACTGAACAAAGACAGTGTGCATTGGATATCACTTGAATGAAAAGTGGGAATCGTTCGCCTTAATGCAAAAGACACTATAAACAATTAATGCAAATGCATCATATTTGTTATGGATAAAGTGTTAACTAAATAACATCATTAAAATAATTAATTGGAACAGTTTACGCACATAAATCTGGGTTTCTATTAAGTATTATTGAATGTCTGTTATACTTGTAAGGCATTCACATATATCAGTTGCTTACGTTAGAATTCCATGTGACATTGTAAATATTTGACACTTCGAATCCCCTTCCCCTTTCTCAAGCCTCTCTCTCTCTTTCTCTCTCTCTCTTACTCCCTCTTACTACATTTTTTTACAAATCAACTTCATTGATCAGGCTCTATTAGCATAATAACTTGTAAAGGACATACACATTTTGAACAATGAGGTTAGGTAATCAAATATTGACCTGGTTCGTTACGGAATAACTACTCGCCTTACCAAGAACGAGCAGAATGGTAAGACCATAAGGGAGACAAGCAAAACTAAATACGGATCTTTTTCAAATGCCCCGAAATATAGTTCTTTGGTTATATTGTTAACATTGCAGGTTGCTGATATCTTAAAATGAAACTTTCGAATTAATTTGATACATACATTCTGTTTTTTTCTTTTTTTAATACTTGTTAAAATTGTTAAAACAAAAACAAAAACAATCTTTAGAAACACTTAAAAACGTGAGCAACCGATGAGCATATTTCCACCCATACTTTCCATCGTCAAACCCTGTAATCCGCATATTACCCTAACACGCTAAAAATGAGTTTGAGTTGCTGCCCTTTTGATACGAGAGGATACAAGCTTACATAGAAATACGTGACGATGAACAGGTTCCATAATATACACAGATACACATATTAAAAAAAACAAATATATAATTATATAATAATAAGAAATCTATTGGACATATTCCTGCACAGTGATTTTAAATGTCAGATTATATAGTTTGGATGTATATTAAAAGTAAGTATTGCGAATTAATAGCATGTGTTCTTTACTTTGAAATTAATGTCCAATCAATACATTAGCCACAGGTGGATAATAGTTGGTTCTCTGTAATGATGGCGTGTCGGCTAGTTTCTCAAGTGATGGTCGAGGCAAGACTCATATGATTTAACAGTTTTTATGAGATCATCACAAATGGTAGACTGTTCCAAATATGAACATTTCAGGGATTTTGTCCTCATCATTACCCCAATGTTATCTACCAAATATCATGTTTTGGTCTCAAATATGAAACGCATTTGAACATCGACTATTAACCAGAAATGAAGCTAACTAGAGAAAATTAAAGGAAGGAAAACATTCCATCAATTACAAACGATCTATTTTATACAAATATATTACAATCTATCAGTATGCTATATTTTACTATTTGCATATATTCTATATTTACATATGAATTACTTTTAACCGAAACTAAACAATTTATCCTTGTTGTCTATACATCCTTAATAACATTTATTGAAAATATGTATTATGTAACATGCTATACGGAATACTGAGTTATAATGTTATAATTGTATGCTGTACTGTCCTGTGTGATGTGTTGTCAGGTAAGCAGTTTATTTTGCAGAAAGTTGTGCTGTACTGTATGATGTGTAATATGTGTAGTATTGTAAGTTGTGTTAAACTATATGTTAGGTTTTACTGTATGTTGTGTCTCATTGTATGTATGCTGTCCTGTACTGTGTGATGTGTTGTCAGGTAAGCAGTTTATTTTGCAGAAACTTGTGCTGTACTGTATGATGTGTAATATGTGTAGTATTGTAAGTTGTGTTAAACTATATGTTAGGTTTTACTGTATGTTGTGTCTCATTGTATGTATGCTGTCCTGCCATGTGTGCTGTGCGGCCAGGTAAGCAGTGTTTTGTTTCGCAATAGGTTAGGTTGTCCTGTACTGTGTGATGTGTTGTCAGTTAGGCAGTTTATTTTGCAGAAAGTTGTGCTGTATTGTATGATGTGTAATATGTGTAGTATTGTAAGTTGTGTTAAACTATATGTTAGGTTTTACTATATATTGTTTTTCATTGTATGTATGCTGTCCTGTACTGTGTGATGTGTTGTCAGGTAAGCAGTTTATTTTGCAGAAAGTTGTGCTGCACTGGGTTTTGTATTGTACTTTATGCTGTGCTGTCCTGTGTGCTTTGCCGCCAGGTAAGCAGTGGTATTTTGCAGTAAGTTGTGCTGTACTGGGTTTTGTATTGTACTTTATGCTGTGCTGTCCTGTGCGTTTTGCTGCTAGGTACGTTTTTTATGTAGTAAGTTGTGCTTTTTTGTATGGTGTATTGTTCTGAGTGTAGTTCTGCCCTTTGTGTTGTGCTTCCAGGTAAGCAGTGTTTTTTTTGTAGTAAGTTGTGTTTTAC